AAGAAAAACGGCGTTTATTAATAAACTAGCTCAGCCGTTTAGGCTACAAACTCTAACAAACCTCCATCCATTCTCAAAGTAACATGTATACATCTATCTCAACTTTTGCATTTATAACATTGGTATGATTGCGGCATTTTTGACCGACCTTCCAAAAGAAGGAGGTACACAATTCGTCTGTTTTTTTTTTTTAATTGCAGGAATATTACACTTCCTATCCTTTCTTCGCTAATTTTTATCGATAACATATCCAACATTTAAATCGGTTTTTAATGTTTATTTAATTACCTTAAGTGTATTTAATACAGTAGCTACAAAATTCTTTTAAGTAATATTTAAATTAATCAAATTGTTTTCGTGCTTTTACAACCTAAAATATAATAATTAAGGTAATAATCATTAAAACGTATTTCCTAAAAAATTGATAAAAGTATTAAAAAAGTAATTATTTTTTTAAAGTATCAGCCCACTTTGTTACATCTTCCCCTTAATATACTATCTTGGCTCTTATTAGGCGTACGGTCGAGCAATTTATCGGGTTCCCTCTAAAATTGCTCGCCAGTGTACCTCTTGAAGTTAGTTAAGTGATGGCTTAATGCACACTTATGTGTAAAATATGGGGGATAGGTCGTTACTATGTACTCGCCACTTACCGCACCCTACAGGGAAGGACTTAAGTTTGGTTACGAATATTTTAACTGTCACAAATTAATCAAAAAATGGGACCCACCGCAAGCATTATCTTACGGATAAAAAAAGAATTATCAAAAACGGTCTGTCGAGGAGTTATTCCGTAACACATATAAAAAAAATAAAAAAAACAACATACGGACGAGTTGAGTACCTCTTTTTGGGAAGTCGGTCAAAAAAATAAAGAATTTTAGGTTCAAAATTAATTTTAGAACACTTTATAATGGATTCTAATTTATTTGGTTTTTAAAACAATCTTAAATCATGTTATATTTCAATTTAAAACACAAACTTGAAGTACTTATCTCTCAAAGCACGAAGTTTTTTCGAGCAAACATAAATCACAAAATTCATTAAGATAACAGAGTTTTAGATACGTAGTTAACAAATGCCTCTCAGGCTTTTTAAATTAACATCAAATTTTTAACTAAATTTCTTTCCACATTAAATAAATACAAAAACTCGGCAAGAAAAAAAAAGCTAAAGTAAAAAAAAATTACTAAAGTAATTTAAAAAATTACAATATTTAAATTATTCGCACCAAGTCCGTTCCTGTCCAAATAGACCCAGGAGCGTATAATAATTGCCATTAATAATCGTAGTTGTATCGATTTCGGATATCGATGTTTGTTTCGGGACGAAAACTAATCGGCTTAAAGTACACATTTGTCCCTTCGGCCGGCTTATGGCGGGAACTTGGTACGTTAAAGCGAAATTGTACCAATCTCATAGATTCCTACCAATTATGTAATGGTAGGAAATGTAAATGGTAATTTTTAACTGATTCAAGAAAACTATAGACCAATATGTTAACTAATCTAGTTGTATAAATGAAAACTGATACTATTGACAAAATCTTCTTTATTTGCTGATAAACATAAATATTATTACATTCACAAGCTGATGCCCGCGACTTCGTCCACTCAACATCAAGATAAAAAGTAGCCTATGATATGTCCGTCTTCATAACCTTCAGTGAGTGAGATTACTCGGAACAAATACGGTTTGCGCACAGACAGACAAAAAAATGCGATTTTTGTTATCAGCATCGCAAATACATCATCTTTCCGATTACTAGAATTTTTATTTTGATATTTCAAACATACACTCCATATTTATTGTATGTATAGATTGGAAAGATGCATTGTTAAAATAACAACGTTGTTACAATCCTTGCTTCATCTTCCACTCATTCGCGCCTAAATCAGGGTTTGTTTTTTTTAATCCAAATTATGTCAATCGCTTTCTCTACGGCCAGTACGATTAAACATTCATCCACGATATTTTAAAAAAATAATTTTAATATTGATTTATTAATAAAACATAGCAATGTTTAATATAAATATGTTCACTTTATATGAATGAAAATATGTTTACAATTGTCAGCGCCATCTATTATTAATAATTGCAAAACAACTTGTGCAACTGATACCAATTTACGACAATGGAAACGTACATCTCTGCAAGCTCTAAATTTAATTGGATCACAAGGGTATCGAGCTAAACGTGACGTCATCGTGTTGGAGGATGTCACCTGACAGTTGATTGACAGGTCAATTGGAAGCGGTGGCTCTTAGCTGACAAATGACCAGGTCGATGTGAAACACGCGTTTGGCTGAGGTCAAAGTCAACTACACATATTTGACTACAGTCAACGTTGATTGAATTATAAAATTTATTAATTTTGTTTTTTTAGATACATTATTTTATTCGTTTTATTCCTCGAGTTTCATATAACCAGCCATTTTAAAATTTAACCTATACTGATATTATAAAGAGGCAAAAAATTGTTTTTTTTTATGTAAAATAAATTAAAACTACTGGGCCGATATTAAAAAATCTTGCACGAATAAAAAGCTACATTATAACTGAATAACATAGGGTTTTTTTTTGGTTGTCGTCCGGACGAAATCGCGATATTAGATAATTTTGCTGTTATTCCCCTATATCCATCTTTTCCTTACATAAACGTGGGAAAGGAAAGGGAACTATAATTACGCCTCCGGCAAAAATTATGAAATTTGGTTTACGAAAGGTAAAATAATAATTATTTCTTCCACTCCATTAAACTTTTAAACATACATGTATTCGAACAATTATTTCAATATTCCAATTTTTATTCGCATCAGTACTCAAAGTAATTATTAAAATTCTGAGGGTAATACAAAATATTGAAATTCGTGGAATATTTAAAAGTAAAGGTGGAATTATTAAAATGTTGTTACTCGAACATTAACACGGTCGAATTATTTTTTGAGTAATTTTTCACACGAATAGCTTCCGTAATGTAATATTTAACTACCCACCTTATGCCATTTTACATCTAAAATAACCAAAAACAATACTTATCACAATTTAACTAAACATTTCTAGGGCCTGGTTATTGAGTAACATAGGCTATATCTTACTAATAATATAAATGCGAAAGTTTAGATGGATGTTTGTTAGCGTTTGTAGCCTAAACGGCTGAACGGATCTTCATGAAATTTGGCACAGGTTTAGAGCATAATCGGGAAGAACACATAGGCTACTTTTTATCCCGGGAATAGTTACGGTTCCCGTGGGATTCATTAATTTAGTTTTTTAATGTTTACTCGATCATTCTGCAACGGTTCAACATATCTTATTGAAATTTGGCACAGATATAAAACAAAGTCTGGAGTACACATTAGATAAGCTTCATCCCCGAGAAATGTCCGGTTCCCGAGGGATACGTAGCTATTTGTAATTTATATAGTTCGTAAGTTTTCTAATACTACGCGGACGGAGTTGCGGGCGACAGCTCGTTTTTAATACTTTTAATTCCACGCGAAGTCGCTAGCAACAGCTAACTCACATATAAAGAGACCGAAACGTACCGCATTAGTCGTTCCACACAATGAATGATTCAAAATGATATCCAAAAAGAATTATTCTTATAATGAGTCCTTTGAAAGTAGACTGGGATATTCTCTAAGGAACGTGAAATGTTTCAAATTCAAGGTCAAAGTGAAGAAAGCTCTAACAAGGCGAAGAGATACGGAAAATTTGCATAGTATTATGATAATCCAGGAAAAAGTGGGAGAGTTAATTCTGAGTCATTGCCTCACTAAATCATATTAAATTTGGGCTCTTAGTGGCGAGTGTCCTGCGAGATTACGTAAACCAACTTTATTTATTCTTGAGTTAAGTGTTTACTTCAAGTTTAAGGAAGTGTTTTATTTCATATTTAAGTAATACTTAATTGTAATCCTTTTTTAAATTGATTTCTACTTTAAACTTAATTATTTATATTGATTTACTAAAAGTAATGTGATATTTTGTGTTTGTGATCGCTATTTGAACAAACTGATATTTTTTATTTATGTCGTTATGTTATGACCTTGAAATAACTGCTTTCTTACTAATATTATAAATGCGAAAGTTTAGATGGATGTTAGAGTTTGAAGCTTAAATTACTGAACGGGTCTGGAGGAAATTTGGCATGTAGAGTATAGTCTGGAAAAACACATAGGCTACTTATTTTTTTTAATTCCACGTGGTCGTCGTCTAGGGTGAAGTTTAGTTAATTTTAAATTTCCTAGTAATCATTAACCTTCTTAATATTACTTCAACCTCCATACAAATAAGGTCAAGTAAATAGGGAACCGAAAGTTGAGAAAATATGAAGTAATAAAGATCGTCTTTGGGCGGCCGTTATCTGCCGAGGAAAACGGGACTCGGGTAATTATCTTCATTAATTACTTCGGTATCAAGCGAACGTTAATGAAAATTTATTTCTTTGCGAAATTAAAGCGAAAAACTGGGCCAGTGACACTTCGCCATTCGTTCTAACTCGACGCTTGAATCTCCACTAATATTGATGAATTGGACTGGGTTTTACATTCATCTCTATTAGTTTGACTAATGGATTGATTTTCGCTTGCTGGTCGACTACTGGACTGGATTGATATAGGAATTTTTTTTTTCATATTCTTTGTGGATAGTTTAAAACAATTTTCGATTCGAAATTTGTATGGCTTGTGTCCTTTAAATTTAAAGTACAATATTAAGATCCTGTCCCATTAAATTTTAAATTGTCTGATAAAAACTAACGTGTAAAATATGTGATGGAAATATCAGATTTTGTTCCCTTATCTGACAGTGACGTCATTTTTAAGATACCTGAGTCTCTATCAGCCAGGACAGACTCCAAAACTTCAAATTCCTTGTAATTTTCGACGTCTATCAGATTGTAAGCATTACAAAGCGAGGTATTTAGGGTTCGATTTAGAATTCATACAGTGATCTCGGTACTATAGTTCATTGTGAGTGCATATCGCTATTCGTACCTTTAACATCGAGTTCAATCTTCCTTACAATAGGCTCGTCGAGCGCGGCGGAAGATACGACACATTTGAGTTCGCCGCGAAGCTCGTATCTCGTCACTATCATAGGTAGCACGTGCTGCACTGTCGCCTTATCCGGTGTGGTCGTTTGAGCTGTAAACAAATAATATATTTGTTACTAGTGACACGATAAACCAACTTTCGCTGACTCTTTGTTACAACGCCATCTATTGGTTTGAAATGTAAACATTCGAGTCCAGAAAACATTGAAGTAATACAGGTTTTAATACTTTAAAAATAGGATAGTGTATATGTACTCTAATACCATTGATAAAATCTTTTTTTTTTTGCTGAAAAAACCATACTATTTACAATAATTGGTAAATTGAATTTGATAAAATAAAAATGTTACATTGCTCGCATCTCACTCATTGGCGCCTAAATCTTTGTTGTTTTTTTTAACTGCTTTCTTGGCGGCCAGTACGATATTAAATATACATCCACAATATTTAACTTCAAAAATTATAATTTTACAATTAAATACAAAAACATATTACAAGAAAATTAAGTTACAAATAGAATAGTAAATACATTGTACAAGATGACAAATCAATTTCAAGTTAGGGTTCTAAGTTATAGCTTGATAATTACTAACGATTATTACACCGAGTTGTATTTAGCTAATCAAGCGAGTCACGCAAACTAGCTTGTTAGTACAAGCTGTTAGAACATAATTAGTTTGATTGTTTACTCGGCAGCTAATGTTACAGATGCGAGTAAATCCAGGGGTTATAGCATGATAATTTAAAAGAAAGTATTCGGAATATTATTGTAGGGCAACACATATTTAATGTGTGAAGTGAAAGCAATTCCGCGGTTCGTCTGATGAGTGTGGTGCCGGCGGTCTAATTTTAGTCCCTTTCCCTTTCCACCCTTTTCTTAAGAGGAAAGGATGGGCAGGAAAAGTGGATTTGACGGTGGAGGAGACGCGTAGGAAGGGAAAATGTCCTCTTTATGTACGTCTTCTACTCCGTCAATGAAAGGTAGGCAACGCATTTGCAACTGCGGATGTTTATGGGCAGCGGTCGCTTTCCATTTCAGGTGGCCGCTTGCTCGTTTCCACCTTATATTATAAAAAAAATGCTAATTTTGTTACTTTACGAATACGTTCTTAAAATTTTTCTTACTAAGTCTTTTGTAGTCAGAAAGTCATGTAATCTTGTAAACTGTAATAAATGACAATACAGTTTACTTGTTTGCGTTACTATGTCGTAAATCATGTTGACGTGCCGGAGAGTATTACGGGCACTTTGGAACTAACTACGTGTCACTTTTGGAACATGCTACAGGATGTTTCAGTTTACGATGATAAATCTTCTATACATATAATAAAATTGGAGTGTCTGTTTGTAATATTGAAAGGAAAATTCCGGATTTCGCGAAGGTTTATTTGCGTTGTTGATAACGACTGTAAAATATTCAAAATTTACTATGTCTGTCCGTAAGCCACGTTTGTTCCGTGTAATCTTCGATACGGTTTGGCCGATTTTGACGGGACTTTGACTCCAGGGTAGTCGATGCACGCAGGAATGTTATAGACGACCTTTTTTGAGTGATTGCTTTTTTCAAATAAAATAAAAAAAGACCTATTTAGTAACATCTACTATTATTCTATTTAAATGAAAGAGACAACAAATATCAAGTCAGTATGACTGAATTATGAGTTTATTGTTAAAGAAACGTAAATAATAAAATAAATATAAAGATATTGTTGCAGTTAAACTCGTAGGTTTATTGACAATTCGTTATCCGAGTGTAGAATCCCGATTCGGTGTACACAATAAAGTCTGTTCTCTTCCAGTTGCACAAGTCGTATTGTTAGATATGAAATAGTTTAAAATACTATTTCAAATATTCTTATTTAATTTATTTGTATAGAAAATAAAATACATTTTAAATCCTATTTTTAAAGTCTTTTCTCTGTCGTTTTAGATGTCGAGCCTCGGATCAGTTAACAAGTATGAGCCATTTTTATTGTCCCTTTCAACTGTAAACATGGCTAGCAAAACTACTACGATAATTAAGGCCTAATTGTGCCTCTCTAACGTTTGATTCGCTATCTTGCTCACACGTTAGGCTCAAAAACGTGACAATACTCGAAATGTTTTCTAAATTCTCTAATGTAGAAAACAAAACAAAACTATAGCGTTTTTGTTCAATTCGATATTCAAATAATATAAAAATGGCGTTATTCCCCGTGCTATTGCTGCGCCTTCATTGGTCAAAATGTCACACTTTCAAAATGATATTGTTAGTTGATAAAATTGCCAACTGCTATATGATCCTTGTAGACCTATACAAGACGTTATCACGTCAAAGATCATTGTAAAAGCGTGAAAAAACCTTTGACTAAACTATCGCTCATTTTTGTGCGATTGTCGATTGTTTAGCAGCCTTCAACTGTTCAGTTGCGTAAATAAAAATCTAGTAGTCACACCTCCATATAAGCTTATAGGAATCAAAGCGAGACTAAACAGTCCTGCGATAGTTTAGTCTAAAGCGTACGCTCTTTGTAACATACTCTATTTGTCTACTATCAAACAACAAGTTTAAACTAGGGTTCATATTAAAATGGTCGGTATAACACGACAGTTGACATTGTATTCAAAAACATCTAAGGGTCCATTTTGTTTCATTATTTGTTCCCGTATTGGGTAAGGGTGATATTGACTCGGGTTCCAAATAGGATGGGATCTAAATAATCTGGGTCAAAGGACGATTTTCTAAATTTATTTATTTATTGACAATAGCCCGTTGGAATTTATTATGGCTTTAAAAATGACGTAAATTTATACGAAAACGTGCTCGTGATATAAAAATTGTAAACGTATTTTGTAGGAAATTCTTTTTAGTGTATATATCTATACTATTATAATAAAGCGTAAACACACTTCCTTGTTGCCTAAGATCAATCAATCACAGCATGTTTTTGAATAATTCTTTTTATTAGTATAAAGCCCTACACTTGCGTCACGCTTTAGGCTACATATCTTAACGCCATTAAACTTAGGGGGTAAATATTTTGGATAAAAACCATAATATGGGAAAGATACCATAAGTTGCTGCCAACATATAGAAAGAAAGATTGCTAAGGTTTGCCATGTCATGTCATGTCATTTTGACATTTGCTATTGATAATTTGACAAATGTAAACAATAAAATAAAATTTTCATAATTTCATGCGGGTGAAGCCGCACGGGAACAGCTAGTTTGTTTTTTTAAAATAATCTAGTAGTACATACACCCGGGGTCAGTGTAGCTACCCAAAAGGGGATAAAACCGTTGTGCGATTGTCGATTGTTTCGCAGCGTTCAACTGTTTAGTTGCACAACTAAAAAATCAAGTGTGCGCTCCTCTATATAAGCTCATAGTAATCAAAGCGAGACCAAACTGTTGTGCGATATAAGTGAAAGGCGTACTTTAAAATGACGGAAACAACATATTTCGCGTAGAAATCTAAGAACATTTATGAGTAAAAAGTCAAAGTTTAGGTGGATGGATGTTTGTTAGAGTTTGTAGCCTAAATTGCTGAACGGATCTTAATAAAATTTGGGATACAAGCAGAGGATAGTCTGGAAGAATACATAGGCTGCTTAATTTTGTTTTTTTTTTTTAATATCACGCGGACGGAGTCTCGGGCGAAAGCTAGTTTATTTATATATTTCTCTTATTAAAACAGTATTAGGTCAAATAAATCCCGCGAGAATAACTCCGCCAGTTGCGGTCCAACCCGACACAAAATTAAATAGGAATTTTGTTTCAAACCGGAAATTGTACAATAACTTTACGTTTGATTTATAAAAGTAAACTTTTGATTTCTAACTTAGTGTTTAGCACATAAATTTACCGTAGCTGTATATCTTACAGAAACAATTATTTACATACTAGCTTTCGCCCGCGACTCCGTCCGCGTGAAATTAAAAAAAAACAAAACCAAGTAACCTATGTGTTCTTCCAGACTGTCCTATACATCCTTACCAAATTTCATGGAAAACGGTTGAGCCGTTTAGGCTACAAACTCTAACAAACATCCATCCATCCATCTAAACTTTCGCATTTATAATATTAAGTATGATATTTACAAACTATAACAAAAAAATGCATAAGAAATTTAGTTAAAAAATAATCACATTTAAATATAAAAAAATGTTTTGACTAAACTATCGCACAACTGTCTAGTCTCGCTTTGATTCTTATGAGCTTATATGGAGGTGCGGGAGCTCGATTTTTATTTGTGCAACTAAACAGTTGACTGCGAAACAATCGACAATCGCACAACTCTTGTGAGATAGTTTATACAAAAGTGTGCGCCCGCTCTAAAGATTTATTTTTTTACAATCTGTTACCAAAACAACTATTACCCTTGTACAGTCAGCTTCATAAACATATATACCTTTGATTTTAATAATATTTACGAACATATTTGTTAATAAAATCTTCGTAATCTGGAGTATACAGACGGATTCGAGCATTTACATTTTTAAAACCAAAGCAATACAAGTATTTGAAGCTTTGAAAATGTCAACATATTTGTGCAGCTGACTGTACAAATCAGTGAGAAAAACCACGTAGAAATCTTTACCAATTTACCTTTCCAATGAGCAAACAAGGAAGACAATCCAAAACTACTTTCCTTCGTAATTAAATTTGTTAGGGCTTAGGTTTGTTCGCGCGTCCCATTTTGTTAGAGTGCTTGTGCTTGTGAGTGCTACACTCGACATTTTAATGAAAAATAAATTTATTTTGAAAAAAAAATATTCTTTTGAAATAAACCATCGTATTAAAAGTTGTCACTAAGAGACCTTTAAGAAATAAAAAAATAAATAAAATAAAAACTATGGACACGAGTCTTTCGAGAAACAAAAGTTTCTTTTCTTCCATTTAATTTATAGTAAACTAACTGTTGCCCGCGACTTCATCCACACAACATTAAGATAAAAAAGTAGCCTATAATATGCCCGTCTACGTCAGCTACCCTTCAATGATAGTCCGGTCGGAATCGGCCGTTTTGGAGGTTAACACAGACAAAAAAAATTAAATGCGTTTTTCATCAGCAATGCAAATACATCATCTTTCCTAAATCCGGAGTTGTT